AGGAGAGGAGCTGACATAGCTTCAGATCACCCACAGGTAATGGTCAAGAAGGAACTGATACCAAGGATACCTTGTGAAACGGCATACCAAGTGTTCAACACAGCCTTTCTTCGAGATATTTACAAATTCATCGAACTCAAGAAAAACCTTAGCAACGGGTTCTGAGCATTACGAAACATATTCAAAGGAGAGGAAAGTGAAAGACTCAGTAGACCCTTAACTTCTGAACGAAAAGGCAAGAATTAGAAAGGCATGGATAGCATTTCTACAACTGAAAAGCATATGAAACTGAAAGCAACTGTCAGCCAACATTCAATTCACAATCTTCAATATGAACGTCAAAGCAGTTGGTTATAATGTACGTAGCTGAAACTCGGAGAACTACTAAAACCATCAATGAGGACGTACGAGTATTTATAAACAATTGTCTACGCAAGATACTCAGTGTCCTTTTACAGGATGTTATCAGCAAAATCCTACTGTGAGAGAGAAAAAACCAGCTTACATTTGAAAAAAATTGGACAAGACGTTAGAGGTGAGTAAGACACATTTCGGGAATCACCGAACTGCATCACGAGGCCAGTCGTAGCTTGAAATTCTTAAGAAAATATGAAAGTGAATGACATCACGCCTGGATTTGGAAGCCGACATGAAAAGGATCCTTTACAATGGGCAACAGGCGTAAAAGTTAAAAATTAGAACAACATGAACACTTTACTGCGTTATAGTTTGTTAAAAAGTATTCACATGTTTCTTATCTTTTATAAAAGTCAAAAAGCACACGCTAGCGCTGCACATTTTAGTCTTTAACAGATTGTGTTGGTTAGTATATCATATAATCCCCAAACTTCGTATACAGTTCGTCTTGATAACCATCACTAGAAAACACCTCAACGACGTAATAATCAGAAGGCGAGAACGAAGTGTTGACTACGTTTATTATGGGACCACACACAAATACCCAATTTACATAGACGTAAGCAAGCATGAAAGAGTAGTACCGAAAACTAGCAGGCAAGTGAATGAGTCAGCGACTACGAGTAAGCGAGCACAATGAACATGAATTAAATGTACATATATATACAAGGTAAAATGAATGGTTCGTCTAATCAACTAATCAACTAATGATAAGGCTAGCAGAATGAATATCTGAGTAGGCAGTTAGCAATGCTCAGGCATACATATTCACACAAGTGTAATAATAATAAATGTACAATAATATAGATAAGCTGTTATTGTACAAATGACTGTCCGTTAAATAAGTTAACAAAAAGAGCCCAGGCGAATTAAATGTGAACAAACTGAGTTTCACGTTAGCTGCTATAAGCTCTTTAGAGCGTTTAGTTCCGTGACTATTTTAGCTTTCAGACAAATCAACTAGTTTATTCATTTCGAGTCATTACGTGGACAAGTTCTGATTTCTCCAGTTATTCGCTTGTAAACTTAACGGTTTTTATTTAGGTATATGGATTTGTACTGAATATCTTCAGCTTATTTTTATGTCTGACTATAAACAGTGGGTCACGCTTTATCAAACAGAGTTAATAATAATTTTATATATTCTGAAAATAATAATTGCAGAATTCACGCCAGTTAACAGGCATGATCAATTTGATATAAATAGCAACACTAGATGTAGAAAACAAACATGTGATAGAAGAAAGTTTTCAGTATACTAGTTCAGTAATCCTTTAAGTAGTACATGTATTACAGCGATCCAATGCATCAACCGGGAACGTTTAATTTTTATTAAATGGCCAGCCTGTTGATTTATGAACAGCGTAATTAAGGTCATTTCCTGTGCCAGATCGAATTAATGATAATGTAGGGCCAGTGAAATGTCACTGAGCCCTAGCCAAATCATCCGGCAGTTGGATCACTGAATGTCGAACAGGTCATCGTTCCCTGCCAAGGTCATGTACAAGAAACGCGCATTAGTTAATCATACGCCATGGACTGGCCCATGCGGCAGTGGTCTTACTTTCGCTTGTATCTACTTTAATTAATATATTTCTGTAATAACGTCCTTTGTGTTGTACAGTCTTCAAAGCATTTATAGTACCTTGTTACGTCAATGGGGGTAGTCCACGTAAGGTGCTGACCACGAGGTGTGACTTCGACGTTAGTTGGTTCGTCACACTATTCACGTCTAACTCGAGTCGGCCTCCAATCATTTCGACATAGATCATCTACGTTGGTGATCTACACTGGTGAGCAAGACTTCGAATAACGCAACCTATCACTATAATCTTTATTATTGTACTCTATACTTATTCTTTTTCATTTTTATCATCGCCTATGTTAATCTGTTACTGTGAACTTTCGTTGCTTCATGTCAATGTTGATTAGCATTTAAACCTAGATAATTCGTTCAATCGACAGAACTAACCAATCAACTACGATTATAATCGGCTATCGTGGTTCTTTAACAAGCATTAGCAGCATGTAAATGCTCCTGTGTAATATGTCTGTTAAAATATCAACCACTCGTGAGTATAGCCACAAGGCAACACGAACGCATATCTCTTTGTACCTTATCCACTGGTATAAATAAGACAAGATTAACTATCGACTATAAATTCATCTTTCTGCTTAACCATTATCCACTAGAATGTTCTGCTTTTTTTTTACCACTGCCTGCCTAATTTCCAATTGCTGAGTTCCATGGCCAAACAGAGGATACGGATGCTAGAAATTCACGGTGAGTTTGAACTATAAATTTCCTGCGATCTTAGATCTCGTTTAGACTGTTCGTCAGAGTAATGCTATGTATTCGGCTTAAATTAATTCTGGACTTATACCGATTCAGTCTACAATGCTGTGTTAATCGAAAAATTTAATCAACAGTACCTCGTACACAATCCAGATTCAAACTACTGCCTACTTCATATCTTCATTACTTAGAGGCAAGAGTAACCCAGGCAAGTTTCATAATTTCATTAGATTATTTCGCACTATATTTATGATGCGTGATAACATTTCGTAGTTGTTTTCACGTAAACCAGTCATATATTCTGTCACTGCCGTCAAGTTTTAGTCGAAATCATGTACATTTATGACTCGTTAGTCGACATACTGTGGTAAAACATATTGCATGTACACGAGCACGCTTAGTCCATGTCCCAAGTACACACGTTGTCGTACTTAATATGTCACTTAACGCTAGGTAATAAGCTCTTTGTATCAGCCTTTTACGAAACGGCCACGTTACGTGGACCCTCTAAACCTTAGTTACATTGGTGGTTACCATTTTAATTAATGTTCATTATACCCTTTGTATTTGCTATTAATTCACACGGCAAATCATGGCTCGATTTCCTTATTACACGACAGTCATTTCAATTCTATTTTCGGTTTATTTACATGCCATACGGGTTTGGAAAATATCTAAACGTCCTCGACAATTCCCCACGAACCCAACCATAGTTTTCGTATATGTTTTTATTCACACATCCAACTGTTACGCTAATCATACCTAAACGAACGTTCAGTGCAACTGTCAGTATACGTAAGAACGATGTTATTTAGACTTGACATTGTAACACATCTGAACTATTGTAGTTGTTCTACTTCGATGTCGTACTTCATTTTATGAAGTATTGTTTCCTCGTGGCTGTTAATTAACAGATGATTCCGGTACATCAATAGGCTGTTCAACTACTCGACGATTTACAACCTGTCCAGTTCAATTGGTGGTCTGACGACAATATCATTCGCGCGAATCACCAGTTTATGCAGTCGAGCGAATCTCCTGCAAACTGAAAACGATATTGTCGCCTCTATCCCAACACTGACAGCGTTTTTCACGGGTATCATTGACATGAGTCCAGAGTGACACTCTTGGTTTCTTATGTTCTTTTCGATATTTTTCTGTTCACTAAGCGAACAAACACGCGGCATTCACCGTTTATCATCTTTTAGAGACTTCATCGTGCCACTTTTGCTGTCGATTTGTAGCCTTCAACCCTTACTGACTGTAACAGCAGTCATCGACTTTTCAAACTGTGACTACAAGTTGGTCAATAGCTTCGCACAACGAAATCACGACCACTCTTCACTGTTATACTTCTGTACTTACGGTTAGTCTGTTAGATATAGATATAACTAGAATTTGACACTAATTAATAGCTGTCAACGACACTGTTCGACTTACAACTTCAAACTAATGACAGTACAAATATGGATATCGATTGATAATACACTTATCCTACTATCGCTATAGCATCATTACTCTTGCGGCAGACTTAACGTTTGTCATCGGAGGAACTGAATTACTTGTCAAGGCTATATATTTCAGCGCGACTTGATAGAACAATAAAACGTTTTGTTCTTTTCATTATTTCTATGGTTAATCAATTTACGTTTAAGCAACGTCCTACTAACATATTATGACTCGCTGTTTCGCGACCAGTTTCTGCCGCCTCCTTTCCATTTGTTTTACAGATAAGCAATATCTGGAGGATTTATAATATTCGTCTGGCACTCTCCGGCGTGCGACTGCTCCCAACATGTTTGGTACCGATTCAAACGGCCGCTGAATCTGGTGGGGGAGTATTGTAGGGCCAGTGAAATGTCACTGAGCCCTAGCCAAATCATCCGGCAGTTGGATCACTGAATGTCGAACAGGTCATCGTTCCCTGCCAAGGTCATGTACAAGAAACGCGCATTGGTTAATCATACGCCATGGACTGGCCCATGCGGCAGTGGTCTTACTTTCGCTTGTATCTACTTTAATTAATATATTTCTGTAATAACGTCCTTTGTGTTGTACAGTCTTCAAAGCATTTATAGTACCTTGTTACGTCAATGGGGGTAGTCCACGTAAGGTGCTGACCACGAGGTGTGACTTCGACGTTAGTTGGTTCGTCACACTATTCACGTCTAACTCGAGTCGGCCTCCAATCATTTCGACATAGATCATCTACGTTGGTGATCTACAATAATTATCTACAACTAGAGAAATTAAAACGAAAACAGAAAGCACGGAATAACGAAGCAGTAATTGCCAAAATATGTCAATCAGGTGTACCGAAATGCATGTGTCGTGTGACACAGTGATATACCGTTGATGTTAGATATTGTTCAAATTAGTTAAAGTTGCTATGGACGGTGTTAACATAGTGACAGCAAGTAGGTTGTTTTACTTAGGGAATGCACTAATAAAAATGGCTCAACATTTAAAGTTCCTGTAATATCACTTGTGGAATGAGATACACTTACAGGTGCTAGAACATTCAATACATTTTCACATGAGCAGTATGCATCGATGCAGTGAACAAATAATGGGAGTGATTTTATCGTACGGATAGATTGTGGTAGGTTATTCTAGAGTCTAGAAAATTTACAGGTTAAGTGATTCATATAAAGAGATGATTTAGCATAAGTTTGTGTGGTGTTTGAATTAACTAATGATTCTTTTGTACTTGTTGAATGCTCGATTTCGAATTCTAAATACAATACATTCGTTTGTGCCTGTGTCTTCTTAATTGAATTGCGTTAATCCTGGAATTCCTAGTCCATACGACAATTAGAATACCATATTGGCGTCGCGATGGAGCCTGCAATGGAAAAGTTAGATATTCATTCAACTTCAGAAGCTTTTGAAGAGTACTTTGAAAGGTTCGAAATCTGGGCTATGACCAAGGAAGATGATGAGGATGTTAATATTGTGGCACACTTCCTCACATTCATTGGAAAAGAAGCATACAGCTTATTAAGAACTCTGGCTATGCCGGAAAAACCCATTTCGCTTTCTTATACAGCTCTCAAGGATCTACTGCTAGACTATGCTCAGTATACAAATTTCAAATGTCGTAAAGGAGGAAGATTTCGTAAAATGATTCATGAGGATATAAAAAAGTCCACTACATTACTACGTCATCTCAACCTAGTGCATACTCAAGGTTATGCAGACAATTCATTGAATTTGGATGCAATTCACGAGGATGGGGACAAGTTTGGTCAGTGTTTGTCCTGTTGCAAGTTCCACTCTTGTAATTCATGTAAATTTCATAATTCTAAATGCTTCAAATGTCGTGATATTGGACAAGTTCAGTCAGTTTGTAATGCTAATGTTCATCTTACTGCAATTAATATTAAGTCTTGTAATTCTGATTCTACTGAGTCGAGTATTCATGATGATCATTTATCTTTATCAACGATTTCAAAAGACAGTGCAGAGTCATATGGCAGTTCAGAGTTAAATGAAATCCAGAATTCTTGTGAGACAACATTTCCTAATCAACCGATTTATCAGAATTCTCATGCTATTGTACCAAGTATGACTTTTCCTAATGATTCACATATTTCTAATGAAATTACTTGCAATTCTGAGGAAAATATGTTAAATGAACCTAATCATGATCGAAAACCTGATGTGGTTTGGATAGATGCTGATTTCTCTAACGATCCTACGCTCTGCAACGACAGTCCTGATGAATTTCATGAGAATATTTCAGAAGAATCAAATCCTGATGTCATATCATATATTACCTATCCTCATAATGTATTTGATCTTCGTGAAAAACCTGCCCAATGCGAAGCACGAGTACTAAGTGACCTCGAGTTTTATTATATTTCGGATGATTTCATATCAACTGCTGTTTACTCTTATCACAAAAACAGTTCTAATGTTTACTCTAAACAATGTGAGATATATGTTTTAAATGAAGTCACATTATTCATAACTTGGGAGTATAAAGATCCAACATTATTTCGTGGGGGGGGGATAGTGTTGAAAAATCTATGGTTCGAATTCTAGATATTAATGATTTCATTACAAAACCGACATGCTGGTTGTATACAATTCCAGGTGAGTCTGTTCCGATTTCGTTTGTTAATTCCAATACTAATGAGCACTTTCTAGATACTACAAAGTTTTTATGTTATACAATTTCGGACAGACTCAGGATGAACTTAACAAGAAGACGTACAACCGATTACAAACACTTATACTTCTATTTAAGCTGTGGCGGATGTGGTGTTTGAATTAACTAATGATTCTTTTGTACTTGTTGAATGCTCGATTTCGAATTCTAAATACAGTACATTCGTTGTGCCTGTGTCTTCTTAATTCAATTGCGTTAATCCTGGAATTCCTAATTCATACTATAATTAGAATACTATAGTTTGTTTCACTAGTGACAAGGAATTACGGAAGTCATAATGAGAAGCTTCTGCATATTGAATCACGTGATTGGATGTAAAGGATAGTTTATTACGTAGTTTGAAGAAAAAGATAAGTCTTAGTTTGAGTCTCCTTTTCCATAAAGGGTCTAGCTCATGTCTCTTACGTATAGAATTATAAGTTAAGGTACAACCAGCTCCAGGAATACTCTGTACTGATTCCAGCCTTAATTTATCATTTATGCGCGCACTGCTAAGAATAAACGTGCAATATTCTAGAAGTGGTCGAACACAAACTTTGTACATTAAAATACATGACTCATTGTTATAAAGGTCTCGAGTTATGTAACCTACAAGACGTTGAGACTTAGAGGTCTGTTTCAATATCGGTTCTGTAAACGACAAGTCCTGGGAGTACCTAAGTCCTCAGTCTATTATTGTATGTAACCTAGATAGCACTTCACCACTTATGGTAAGATCTATGTTGAGTGATGTATCGCTGAAGCACATCCATTCAAATTAGCCGTATCAAGCTCTAGGTGCCATTTTAAGCACCACTGTGCTACCTTGTCAAGCGCCATGCTGAGGCAATTTTGCATATTTTTCAGCTCCTGTGAAGAAAATGAATATGCTATTGTAAGATCATCTGCACATAGAAGGGGCTTACCTACACGAAAACTTTCACAAATATCATTGACAAACACTAAAAAGAGCAAAGAGCCTGAGACACTACCATGTATTACACCACTTCTAACAGGGACAGAGCTAGACAAAGAATAGTTAATTTTAACTATTTGATGTCGATTGCTGAGAAAGGAATCAAACCAGGCTAGCAAAGGATTTTGAATCCCGTAAGATGAGACTTTACTTATAAGAAGTTGATGGCTAACCATGTCGAAGGTTTTAGAAATGTCCAGATATAGCACTAAGACTAGATATCCTCGGTTGCGTAGAGAATAGACTAAATTAAAGAAGTTAAAATGACATGTCATGCAAGAACGATTTTTAAGAAATCCATGTTGAGTATCACTGATAAATTTTACAGCGATTAAATAGTTGGAAAGTTCATCACTTATAATTTTTCCATAATCCTAGAGATAAGTGGAGCAATATTTATCGGCCGACATTTGTTCATGTCAGTCTTATCTCCAAATTTGTACCGTGGTATGATGTATGCGGTTTTCCGACAGTAAGAGTAAGAACCAGTTTCCACAGAGAGAGTAAACAGCTATAGAAGAAGTGGAATATCTGGACCACCATATTTGTAGAGGAAGGATGAAATCCCGTCAGCTTCATGACCTCTCGAAAGCTTAAGGGCATTTATAACTTTATTAATTTTCATGCATGTGAAGGAGATAGACTTTATTGAGTTGCTAGTCACGCACATAACTCTTGAAGCAGAGCCACTTATGATTTCTACACCATTCGCAGAAATACCACTGAAAAGATCTGCTATAGTTTTGGAGTCGTATATAAAAGTGCTATTATGCTGAATGCATGGTATATCAACATTTTGCGTTGCCTTGGCGCGTTTATCGAAAAGAAGAGTTAAGTTTTTTACTTTTGAGTTAGTAATAAGTGCTAGTAGCTCCTCAGTAATGGCTTTTAACCTATGTTTCTTTTCAAGTTGATTAATATTATTGTTATTTGTGCAACTGGTGTGAAGTCGTTTGACTTAAAATAACGATTTTGTAGGCGTCTTAATTTATTACGATATTTAGCTGGTATATATAATTCATAAGGTTTAATAAACCTGTACGTTTTAAGAGGTACACAGGAATCTAAACAAGAGTTAACGGTCAGATAGAATTCGTCGATAGCATCCATGAGACTGTAGTCGAATTGGGATTACCAATTGTAGCGTGGCGTCGAGTTGAGATTAACTATGAACACCGCTACCAAGAAACACGTGCCAATTAGATCAGAAGGCGTAAGAAGCTCGTTCCAAATGACTCCATAAAATCCCCGAGAAGCCAAATACCAGAAGGCAATTAATGGACCAAGTCGATGTTTATTTGCTGGCGATCTCGTGGCATCGAAAGGATACCGAGATCGTGCCAGGATACAAGCTTGGTTACAGAACGCAACCGAATTCGCGCGAAGTTACAATCAAAGAGTAAGTAAAGAATGGAAGAACAAAATAGCTGTCATTAGCACAGTCAAACAAAAGCACGTTAAAACAGTCACTGGTACACTTGGTTATAATAATAATTGTTTTTATTAAACCAGTCGTGTTCTCGTGATAAACGTGAGTCACTACAGGAGCCCCCCGCTAGAAAGGGTTAACACTTTCGATAAATAGCGGTTTGAATCGTGGGACTGATCGGCTGACGAGCGATTGTAGGACGGAAAGATTGGCGAACAGGAAAGCGATCGTTGATCGTCGAGTTGCCAACGAAGGTCGTTTTCGGAGAACAGTACCAGGAGCGATATGTTGTATTGATTGCTCGAGTTGGCATGCTACACGAGAGTGGTTTGTATCCAGAATCTGAAGAGGGCGTTCGTAGGGTGCGGACCAGGAACGCTGCAGACGAAGGACGAAACCACGTTGAGCCAAAAGACCAGAAGCGACCGTAACGACCAAGTTCGAGACCAAGCGTTTTTTATGTTTTCGAAACCAATATATCGACTGAGTGCGTTGACAAGAGCATGGGTGGCCAATCCAGCTTTCGCCAAAGTTGACTGAAGTCGACGGAACCAAACGGAGATGGTCGAAGGCGTGGGCTCAGAAAACGAAAAGAAAATCAAAAAAGAAGAGTGTAGCATACGTGTAGTATAGGAATAATCCTACACCGTATCGGTTGTTGACTGTGCGACTATTCGCGGAAGCGTACGGGTAACCGTACTCGGCGACCGGAACGTGAGACGGCAGTCTCGTTCGCGTCGCGTGAGCCTGCAATCTCATCCGAGGTCAGAGGCGGCGTGGTCTGCTGATCTGGACGTGAGACTATCGTCTCGTCCGTAGACGGTGCAGATGACGCGTGCTGTTGACCGGGACGTGAGAATGAGGTCTCAGATGCATCTAGCGTGGGACCTGAAGATTTAAGGATCCCGCTAGGTTTAATAGGTCTAGCATTGAATCTCAGGTTACCAGATAGGGCACTGTCATCGACGTGTGCTGGTTTGAGACGATCAACGCTGACGATCTCGACGCGTCCATGTCGATCAACCTTGAAGGTCTTTTCGTGACGAGCGATCACGTGAAAAGGGCCTTCGTAAGGTTGTTGCAAAGGTTTGCGTACCGAATCTACTCGTACAAAAACATGTGAACAGGTAGATAACTCTCGAGGGAGAGTGACCTGTCGATGTTGTATTCGAGTTGACACCGGAGACAGCGTTCACATAAATGCAGACAGTCGACGGACGTTGTCTGATTTACCGAAACTAGGTCTGCTCCGTGGTGTGAAGGATTCTCCGGGCAGACGCAATGTCGTGCCGTATACAAGTTCAGTGGCGGAACATTGGATATCTGCCTTTAAGCTCGTTCTCCCCCTAAAAGAACGAGCGGTAAGGTTTCGTGCCAGTTGCCGTTTTCGTGTGCTCGTAGAACACTTTTAAGTTGGCAATGAAACCGTTCAACTTAACCATTCGGTGCTGGGTGGTAGACGGATATGCTTATGCGTATGCATTCCGTACCAAGCAGCCGGGTCAGCGAGGAGAATCGTTAATAGGGTAACATTTCTCGAATAAAGCGTGGAATTCATCATCACGCGAATAAAAAGTGACAAGGATTCGGTACACATACGTGTGAGTCTATTATATTAATACTATTCTTATCGTTATCCGTCATGTCGCGTATATTATATATTAAATAATACGAAAATATACGACAGACGTGGATAGATAAACCATAGACTCACCGAATTGGCTTCTTTGGAAGATTTGACCAGAAGCTGAGGCGTGTTCCAAAATACGAGTCACCAATTGTTGTCGAATTGGTATTACCAATTGTAGCGTGGCGTCGAGTTGAGATTAACTATGAACACCGCTACCAAGAAACACGTGCCAATTAGATCAGAAGGCGTAAGAAGCTCGTTCCAAATGACTCCATAAAATCCCCGAGAAGCCGAATACCAGAAGGCAATTAATGGACCAAGTCGATGTTTATTTGCTGGCGATCTCGTGGCATCGAAAGGATACCGAGATCGTGCCAGGATACAAGCTTGGTTACAGAACGCAACCGAATTCGCGCGAAGTTACAATCAAAGAGTAAGTAAGAGAATGGAAGAACAAAATAGCTGTCATTAGCACAGTCAAACAAAAGCACGTTAAAACAGTCACTGGTACACTTGGTTATAATAATAATTGTTTTTATTAAACCAGTCGTGTTCTCGTGATAAACGTGAGTCACTACAAGACTATCACATGAAAAAAAGTTATCTCAGTCTGAAAGTTTAATCAGTGAATGCAGGAGGTCCCAGTCAGCATGTTTATGGTCTCCATATTGACAGGTTTTTTGAATGGGTCGATTATAAGAGGGATAGATAGGGAGAGCACAAACTGCTATTTTATGATCACTGCTTTCAAATTCATCGTATACTTTTACGGATAGTAGGATGACATCTCTACTAAATATTAGATGAAGTATACTATCGCCTATAGTTGAGGCACGAACCCACTGTGACCAGCAGTGCATGTTAATGGTTGCCAAGATCCATTCACTGCATGACTGACAACTACCGGCACTCCAGTAAATCCCAGGATAATTGAAATCTCCAGTGATAACCTTAGCATTAAAGTTTAGAGCAGATGCATGTATGAATGCATTGATAATAAGATCATTCCCATTATTCGAACCATCAGGAGCTCCAAGGAGTAGACTATGATTCAGGGTGGTGACTGATATCCAGACTGATTGTGGTAAACTATTCAGGACACCATCTTCAACTTTATTAGTTGTTAGGGTATCCAAAGCATATATAATACAACCA